GGGTGGGTGAGTGACGGGTGGGGTGGACAGACGGGTGGGTGAGTGACAGGTGGATGGACTATAAACAGATGGGAGCAGATCCCACGTACCCTCTATGAATGTTTACAGCACATCAACATGCTTAGAAGCCTCAGTCCTGGGTCCTCGCCCCTCCGGGCACTGAGCCCCTCCTCTGTGGTGTTCAGACCTCTGCTGGAATCTCAGCACATCCTCAAGGCAGACGGTTTTGTTGTTGGAGAGTGTTCATGATTTCCAGACACTTGGCCCACGGGATTATTGCCATCCAGTGTAGCAGGTCCTTTCTGTGGGGCTTAGGCATGCTGCGCCACGGCGCCTATGTGGGAGACAGGTAGTCACTGTCCTCTCCCCATCCCACACGTGGCGTGGCCTCTCCCCTGGCCAACCTCTCTTGGGCCCACTCTGGTTCTTTGATATTATACTGAAGTTTGTTATAGAGTGGCACCCAGTCCTGCAGGTGAGGCTCTGTGGCAGGGCATGGTGGGGTTGCACACGAAGGGCTGGCTTGGCCTTGGGCCGTGCCGCTGTGATTGTGCGGATGGCCTGGAAGTTGGCGGCAGGAGTGAAAAGAGCTTCTTTGCCATGGGGGCTGGCAGGTCGCTGTGGTCAAGGTGTGTCCTGGACAAGCCACTTGCTGTACAGAACAGGCATATCCCCTTCAGTAGAGTTTTGGGGAAGATTGGAGTGGCTTACACAGAGCCTTGTCACAGGGGCTCATGTGCAGCTGCTATGTAAATGCTCTCTTTTCTCCGTCACCTTGTTATGCTTTGGTCAGCTAAAGGACCAGTCTTCACAGGCCATGGCCTCATAGTTAACTTCAGAATGCGGCTCAGTGCTGGGGTCCTGTGTCTCGGGGGCCTGGGGCTGCACACAGCAGTGGCATCTGGCCACGGCCTCATAGTTAACTTCAGAATGCAGCTCAGTGCTGGGGTCCTGTGTCTCGGGGCCCAGGGCTGCACACAGCAGTGGCGTCTGCTGTGGTGATTGTGCCTCAGGCCATCCTCCCCTTGGCCTGGTGTCCCAGCTGTAGGGATGCCATGTCTCCTGGCTCATGCTTGGACAAGCACATGGATCTGTCCTTGGGGACCATGGATGCTCAGTCAGTAGAAACCCATCAGCTGCTCCGTTCTCTGCTCCACAACTTTGCATCTTGATCATGAGGCCATTTCATAAAAGCGTAGCAGGTGCTGTGCTGACATCCACGCACTCACATGCCGCCACGACATTTCCCTGAACCCTCCATTTTAAACCAAGACTCAAAAGAAGAATTACAGATTCCTTCTTGTGATGTTTTCTAGTTATTCCAGTTTTGTTATTTAATCAATATTCTGGTCCTTTGTAAGGCAAAGTCCATTGTGCTCACCCCCCAGGCTAACTTCAGGGCTGCCCCAGGGCCCTTGAGTCACCCAGGCCAGCGTCCAGGTGCAAATGGACTCCTTCCTGGCTCTGGCTGGGCAGGCTGGTGGGGCTGCAGGGATGTGCACATCCCCCATGAGAATGGCTGGTTGGAGACGAGGCTGGGAGTGGGTGCAGCAGACCACTCAGAGGTGGGCGAGGTTGCTCAGCTTCCAGCTCCTAGTGGGCTTTTCCAGGGCCCCATGTGGGCACAACTCACCTGCCTGTGGGATTGGGTTCTTGTCCATCTGCATTTCCAAGTGAGCGGCCAGCCCTTTCTGGAGGAGCTTGCATTGGGAGAACCTGTGCTGTGGTGGGACCTACCTGCCGTGACACAACTGTGTGGAGATGGGGCCAGTGGCCGCTAGGCCCTGGGCTCCTGCCCTGAACTGACCCCTCCGCCCTCCACAGAGGCCTGTGGGAGCAAATCTGTGTACGACGGCCCGGAACAGGAGGAGTACTCGACGTTTGTCATTGACGACCCCCAGGAGACCTACAAGACGCTGAAGCAGGTCATCGCTGGGGTCGGGGCTTTGGAGCAGGAGCATGCCCAGTATAAGAGGGACAAGTTCAAGAAGACGAGATACGGAAGCCAGTGAGTGCAGCTCCTGTGCCCACCCTGGACAGCCAGTGTGGGGGGGGCAGGAGGTTGCTGTGGGGGTGGGGCTGCCTGTACGCAGCTGTCTGCCTGGCAGGCACCTGGCAGCGGTCAGTGGACGTGACCAGCGGTGGTCAGTGGACTTATCCTGGCAGTGGTCAGTGGACGTGGCTGTCAGTGGGCGTGGCCGGTGGTGGTCAGTGGACGTGGCTGGCGGTGGTCAGTGGACTTACCCCAGCAGTGGTCAGTGGGTATGGCCCAGCGCTGCCATTCCTTCCTTTGGAACAGGTGCTGCCTTTGACTTTCCAGGCCTCCGCCAGTGTCCGGGCCGCCTCCCAGCCTTTCTGCTGTGCTGGTCTCAGCATGCTCTGGCAGTCTCTCTTGGCCCAGGCTTTGGTCTGCCTTGAATTGCACACACCCTCTGCCATCTCCCCAGGCCACCCATGGTACCCAGGAGCAAAGCCAGCTCTGGATGAAACCCAGTCTTGTCTCATGAGGCAGGTGCAGGGTGCAGAGTCCGTTCAGCCCAGTCACCAGCTGCAGGCTGGGTGGCCACTTAGCTAAGCTCCACTCCCCCTCACTCCCTGAGACACAGGATTGTGAGACCCTCATGAGTTGTTGGAAGATTGACGTAAACTATGTAAAGTGCTAGACTGGCTCCCAGCCTGGAGTGAGCAGGTGTGTCTGTCACTCTTCTCCAGCCAGTGGGTACCCAGGGTCAGTCAGGCTTGTTCAGGGGTGGATGGGCTGGAGAGCCCTGTGTAGCTGTGCAACCTCCTCCTCACTTCCATCTACCTCCTCTCTCCTTCTCTTCCCCCCTTCTCTCTCCCTCCTTCCCTCCCTCCCTTTCATCCTTCTTAACCCTTCCTTCCTTCCTTCCACCCTGTGGGTCTCGTCTGGGAAGGGAAGGGCAGCGGTGAGGCTCTGGGAGAGTGACAGGTACTTGTGGCCCTGATATGGACTGAGTTGCTCAGGGGACTGAGCCTGCAGGATCCCGAGTACTGTGACTTCACCTCTGACCTCATCGCATTACATCCCTCTTGACACCACTCTAGGGATAGAACCCCATTTGCCTTCCAAATATGTTGCTTCAGGCCCATCAACCTCATGGCCAAAAGTCAGTGGGTTGAAAACATGTGAAGCATGATGCGGTTTGTTGTAATAGAAGGTGTAAACATGGCACACATAGTAGGAGGTGACAAAACATGGGAGGAAGTGCACACACATGGGAGGAGGTGGACACGTAGGAGGTGCACACATGGGAGGAGGCAGATACATGTGGGAGGAGGCACACGTGGGAGGAGGTGGACACAGAGGTGTACACATGGGGGGAGGTGCACACGTAAGAGGAGGTGGACACACAGAGGTGTACACATGTGGGAGGAGGTGCACACAGGAAGTGCACACAGGAGGAGGCGGATACACGTGGGAGGAGGTGCGCATACGTGGGAGGAGGTGCACACGGAGGTGTACACATGTGGGAGGAGGTGCACACAGGAGGCGCACACATGTGGGAGGAGGCACATTCGTGGGAGGTGCACACATGGGAGGAGGTGGACACGGAGGTGTACACGTGTGCGAGGAAGTGCACGCGTGGGAGGAGGTGCACACGAGGGAGGAGGTGCACACACGGAGGAGGTACACACATGCGAGGAGGTGGACACAGGTGTACACGTGGGAGGAAGCGGATACATGTGGGAGAAGGTGCGCACACGTAGGAGGTGCACATGTGGGCGGAGGCATACACACAGGCAGACATGTGGGAGGTGCACACGTGAGGGACACATGGTAGGAGGTACACGTGGGAGGAGGTGCACACACATGGGAGGAGATGTACACGTGGGAGGTGAGCACACAGGAGGCGGACACATGGAGGAGGTACACACGTGATAGGTGCACACACGAGAGGAGGTGCACACAGGAGGAGGCAGACACATGGTAGTACACACACATGGGAGGAGGCGGACACATGGCAGGTGCACACACGGCAGACATGTGGTTAGGAGGTGCACACACGTGGTCCAAGGGAGGTGTGCATGTGGGGAGGAAGTGCCCATGCCTGCTGAGTGTCCCAGCACACAGATGGACAGAGTTTATGCTCCCCACATGTGAGGACCCCCTCTTTGCAGTGCATGTTCTGCACACCTGAGCATACCATCTCCATGTTCCAAGTGTGTATGTGTACCTCACACATGCTCCAGGGAGCGCACACGTGCACGTACTGGCATGTGTCACCTGCCTGTGCACACAGACCAGATTCATCATGGGTGCTTCCAGGGGCACTGTACTTCCTTTGGCTCCTCTTTATTTTTTGTGTGGATTCCAGTGTAAGTGTGTCACATTTAGGAATGGGAAAAGATCCCGCAGTGCACGGGTGAGCACCAGGCAGTGGAGGCTGTGCCTCATTCCCTCCGCTATCCCCCTTTTCAGGGAGCACCCCATCGGAGACAAGAGCTTCCAGAACTACATCCGGCAGCAGTCCGAGACCTCCACTCATTCCATTTAAAGTGCAGGACACGCCCAGTGGTGCCTGTGAGCTGCCCATGCAAAGCTGCAGCCTTTGGGAGGGAGAAGAGAAGGAAGAGTGCAGAGTCACCAGAGCGATCCGTGCCACCCCAGCCACGGACAAGTGGCCAAGGTTTCCCTCTCCCGGAAATGCCGCTGCTGCCGCACCCTCTGCAGAAAGCCCACCCAGCCTTGTGGACCATGTGGTCGTTTGGTTTTGTGCTCTTTGCTCCTTGTTTGTGGGGATCCAGGGATCAGCTGAAGGATCAGGAAGCGTGGGCTGTGCCCTGGCCACACCACAGCTGGCCTCAGGGAGTCACGGCTTGTCCAGTCAGCTGCAATATGCACCTTAGGCCGTGTGCACATCTGTCCCGTGTGCACGGTGTGTGTGGCTCTGGGCTCTGTGGCTCTGCGCCCTTGTGGCCTCCTGGCCCCATCTTGGTTTTTGGCTTCATCACGTTGGGACGTTCAGAGCATCACTCTCCCGCTGTGCCTACCATCCAGGTGGCCGTGGGAGGTGGCCTCCCTGTTCCACTTTTGAGGTTGATTTTATTCCTGGCTGAGGGGTGAGTTTTGTGGCTGGGATGTGCAGAACTACACAGAAATCCCAATCTGAGGATGCCCTTGGTGCTTGGAGGATCCAGGTTCTGTCCACAGAGACCCTTGGAGGGAACAGTGTGGGCTCCAGTGTCTCCGGTGTCTGCTGAGCCCATGTGGAAGCACAAGTTATTTTGCTGTTGAATGGGGTTTAAAGTTAGACTTAACATTTGCCACCCCCTGTGGAAGTTTGGGGAAGATTTTTAAACTAGAAGTGTGCATTTTTCGAGCTGTTTTTCTTAATGTTTTTAAAGGACCATTTTTAATTAGCTCTTTGATACAAAGTAACTCAGAACGTCAAAATCTATCCCCACTAAAGAGAAGGCTGCTGGAGCCCAAGGGCAAGGGAATGGAGCCTGCCTCAGGAAGGGCAGCTGCAGGTTCTCCAGAAAATCAGAGAAGGGAAGAAATTCAGATTTTCAGGTACAGGGGCCTCGGGGTGCAGATGTCCCTCCAGGGCCCATGGCCAGTATTGCACCTGTGTTATGAACCCCCAGACGCTGTGCAGGGCAGGTACTGGGGCTGCTTTTTTGTTGGGAGGGGAGCCTCCTAAAAACGGGGCCCAGGCAGACCCCTCCAGACCTCACACTGCCGAGGAGGCCTTTCCCGAAGGGCGTCCTCCCAGAATGTGGATGGCAGGTGTGTGGGAGGAACGTTTACATACACATCACCATGTATCCTTGTACCTTCTCCCTGTTCTTTGAAAATACTGTAGTTCAGACTCCTAATCTAGATGGCAGATAGAGACTTTATTTGTTGTCACAAAAATAGTGGAGGAAAATGTTATAAAAATAGACTTGGACACACAGCTATTGGGGCTGCACTGAGCTGCAATTTTTAACATGGATTTATAACTTAATGTTTCTGCTTATAAAATACTAATGATTTGAAATGTATTTTACTGGACGATTAAAACAGATGTTTTATTCTTTCTGAGGACTGGCCTGGTTTTCCAGTAGTGCCTACTGGGAATTGCACATGTGGGTATTGGGAGTGCTGGGGGGGATGCAGGGAGGAGGTGGTGTCTGGGGAGCAGAATGACATTGCTGATGCCAAGTGACATCGCTGCTGACAGATGACATCTCTGGTGACAGCACTGCTCTGGCAGGTGGCACCGCCCTGACAGGTGACATCGCTGGTGGCAGGTGACATCACTGGTGACAGGCGACATCTCATGACAGGTGATGCCTCTGGTGATGGGTGGCGCTGCTCTGACAGGTGGTACTGCCCTGATAGGTGACATGGCTGGTGACAGGTGACATCACTGGTGACAGGTGACATCTGGTGATGGGTGCACTGCTCTGACAGGTGGCACTGCCCTGGTGACAGGTGATGCCTTTGGTGACAAGTGACATCTCTGGTGACTGGTGCACTGCTCTGACAGGTGGCACTGCCCTGGTGACAGGTGACACCTCTGGTGACAGGTGACGCCTCTGGTGACAGGTGATGTCTCTGGTGACGGGCGGCACTGCTCTGACAGTGCTACTCAACTGTGGTACCTTAGGTGACAGTCTGGCCCCATGATCCCTCAGGAAACATGTGGGTCCCACACTGCCTGACAGTGCTACTCAACTGTGGTGCCTCAGGTGACGGTCTGGCCCCATGATCCCTCAGGAAACATGTGGGTCCCACACTGCCAAGGGCCGGGGGAGTGCGGTTGGAGATGGCGTCCACTCAGGCAGTGTTGGGAAGACAGACTCCACCTGCTGCCTTCTCCAGGAACACGGAGGGCGGGTGAGGCAACTTGGAGTCCCTGGGAGTAGAGAACTGACCGCCCCTCCAGGCAGATGGCCACTGTCCCTCCTGGGGCAGGAGAAGGTTAAGGGGGCCTCTGGGTAAAGACCCCATGGCTGGGGATGCATTTTCTCATTTCTTTATTCCTTTTTCTTCTCCATTGGAAGTTCTCTTTTTTGGTAATTCTATTGTGAGTCACCAGCTCTGGTATGAGAAAAATTCAGATGTGTGGCTTTGGGGACACAGAGGTGTGGCTTTGGCACACAGAGCCAGGCCTTTCTCCCAGGGAAGGGGAAGGGTTGGTGCTGCCTGGCCGGCCTCCTCTGTCTGTGGAGGAGAGGGTCAGGCAGGGACAGCACTGCCCTGTCTGCCAGTCCAGGCATGGCTGAGTGGTGGATGGACCCCTGCAGGTGGGGGCACCCTGCCTGGGAGGCTGGCCAGTCTTCCTGGATGTGTGCTTCCCTGGCAGGGCTTCAGGCAGTGCCAGGAGCTGGGGGCTCAGTTCACACTCTGGGCACACTGTGCTGGGGTTGGCCCTGGAGGGCCAAGGTCAGCCCCTCCAAGAGGAAGTCAAAGAGCTAGGAGGATGAGGCCCCAGGGAATGTGGAGAGCTGAAGCCCCTCTCAGAGCAACCAGGAGGGTACTGCAGGGCTGTGGGAGGTGGGGGTCTAGGGGGGCCGGAAGCCCCTCTAAATCTCCCACTGATATAGTCTGGCTGTGTCCCCACCCAAATCTCATCTTGAATGGCAGCTCCCATAATTGTGTGTGTGTGAGAGGGACCCGCTGGGAGGTAACTGAATCATCGGGGCAGTTTCTTCATACTGTTCTGGCAGCAAGTCTGTCTCACGAGATGTGATGGTTTTAGAAGGGGAAGCCCCTCTCACTTGATTCCCTTTCACCTTGCCCCAGGACTGTGAGGCCTCCCCAGCCATGTGGAGCTGTGAGTCCATTAAATGTCTTTTTCTTTATAAATTACCCAGTTTTGGGTGTATCTTTATCAGCAGCGTGAAACGGACTAATACACCCACCAAGGGACAACAGGTGGCTTTGTGGAGACCCCAGTGATGTCCACCTACTCTTCTTGCTCCAGACAACCCAGCACTTGAAGAGAGACAGCAGCTTCTGCTTCCCTCCTGGCACCATCTGGGGGGCTCCCGACCAGAGCATCCGGAGCAGGCGCCTGTGAGGAGCTGTTGCAGGAGGCCAGGGGGTGCCAGGGCAGGTGAGAGACCAGGGCTCCCACCCTGTGCCGGCCACTTGCCCAAAGAGCTGAGGCCTCCTGGGCGCTGAGAGGCTGTGGGCTCCTTCAAAGGAGGGACTGGAAGGAGGGGAGCCTTCGGCCTGGGGGGTCGTACCTGCCTCCCCGTGATGCTGAGGAGTGCCGGGTGCAGGCAGCAGGTCAGGGCAGGGTGCAGGCTTGCAATGTGCCTGTGAAGGGCCAGAAGGGGCTGCCAAGTAAGCCACGCTGACCTAAGGGTTGTTTTGAGCTGAAACAGAAGTTGCAGAAGCACCTCCCCGCCTCCCTTTTTCTTCCATCCATAAGGATAAGAATGCAGCTTTCTTCTGGCTCTGGAGAGCGTCTTTCCTGTGGGGTGTTACCTCCCGTTTCGGGAAGGAAAGGCCGTCTCGGGGCCTGCGCTCTGTGAGGCTCCCGGCCACACAGACTTGTGTGCCTTCCCCCTCTCTTGTCTGCCAGTTTTACTTCTTGGGCCCAACCAAAAAACCCAGGAGGTAAAATGTTGCCTCCCCACCCACCATGGTCTGGAGGCTGGAGGAGACGGCGTGCTGGGGTAGGGTCTCGGTATTTTCTCTTTCACTCAGTACTGGCCAAACTCTCCCCACAAATCCCATGTTGAAGCTGTGACCTCGTGACCCTCAGGACCTCAGGATGTGAATGCACTTGGGCGTAGTGCTGTGGAGATCGCCAAGGTAAAGTGAGGCCATCAGAGTGGCCCTGACCCATTGTGACTGGTGTCCTTATTAGAAAGGAGATGAGGACACAGCACACAGGATGACCACAAAGACGCGGGGAAGATGCCATCTCCGTACCAAGGAGAGAGGCCTCGGAGAACCAGCCCCGAGAGACACGTGACCCTGGACTTGTAGCCCAGCACCAGAGGGAAGAGCTCCCGCTGTTTACGCTGCCTGCCGGGGAGTTCCAGCAAACCCCCACGCACCAGGGCAGTTCACACCCACCTGCCTGGAAAGGCCCAGAGCCCTGGCCACAGCAGGGTTTTGTCCTGGTGCTGTGTGGGTGGGGAGGGGTGACAGGCAGTGTTTGCACCCCACTAGTGCCTGCCGGGGCCGCCTGTGTCTTCCTGAGTGCATCTCTGTCCCCTTTGTCCTTGATAGGGAAAGAAAGACTCAAATATCCTGTCACAGAAGGAGACCAGCATCTGTGCTGAGGGAGCCGTGGTGAGGCCTGGTGCCAGTTCCCTACCCTGCCTGGTGGAGAGACCAGAGAAGAGAAAACACAGAACCCGCCCCAACCCGGGCCTGCAGGAAAGAAGAAGGGGAAATGCAGAACCCGCCCCAACCCGGGCCTGCGGGAAAGAAGAGAAAACACAGAACCCGCCCCAACCCCTGTCCTGCGGGAAAGAAGAGAAAACACAGAACCCATCCCAGCCCCAGCCTGTGGGAAAGAAG